AAAAAAAAAAAAAAAAAAAAAAAATCTGTTTCCCGTAGGGATTTTATCTGGCCATCATTCAGATATTTAAAGCCACTCACACTCAGATTTTTGCCTGCCTCCTTCAAGGAGGATGACCACGTTCCCTTTGGCCCTGGGGTCCTGAACCTGAATCCTAGCCCAGAGCAAAGGCTGAACTTGCCTGGTGCCCTGCATCCAGCTGCTGCCAGGAGTGGATGCTCAGGGGCTGTAAATAACCATCGGAGCAAATGCAGGCTCCATCCCCTCACATCGCCCTTGCAGCATCTTTGGGCAGCAATGGGTGGGCATGAAGGGTCTTGAGCACCATGTGCCAGAGATAAGAAGATGAACAGAGTTTGTTGAGATGCTCTTTTATGTCCAGCTAATTAATCCATCTAGTTTCCTTTTTTGGGAATAAGGTACCAAGCCCAGACCCAGAGCATTACCTGCCTCTCCTGCTGGCCCAGCAGCCTGCATCCTTCTACTCCTGCTGGGGAGGAGGAGCCCCCCGTTCCAGCAGCGGCTCCGGGTACCAGAGCTGATATTTGATCTCAGATTAGTCATCCAGTTCGCAGAAGGCAGATCTTGAATATATACTCTCTGCTCTGAAGCCATCTGTCATCACTTGCTTTCAAATCCCCTCTGAGCACGTCCGCGGAAGGAAGATGACTTACCTGGGGCTGGGAAAGCCGGTACCGAGCGTACTGCAAGGGCGAACAGTCAGAGCATCAAACCCATGTGCTGGCATGTCCCGGCAGCCACGGAGGTGTTCTGGGGACTGCTGGTGCTCAGAGGGCTTGGTACAGAGCAGGGGCATCTCCAAGCTGGGGTGGGGAAATAGTCTGCCCTGGCACAACCTGGAAGCACCAGCAAAGCTTGCCAGGGCATCGCTTCCCCGAGGCTTCCCACGAGCATCAGTCCTGTGGGTTGGTGGAGTTAAACGAGCAGAGTAGGAGGGCGTCAATCAAGAGCATCACTGTGCCTTCCCTGCAATGGGGGGAACTGACTGTCACCCCACGGTGGCTGTTCCCGGTTGGCACTGACAGGTTGTGATGGCAGAGGGGTGTTAATCACCAGCAATGTCTTCGAGGACATCCAGCTCTGGGTGTTCTGAAGGGGATTCAGAGGGGGGCAGGTGGCTATGAGCTGTGTCCATGTGTGCTTCTGGGGAAAAAGAGGTTTTGGTTCACACCAGTGCATGTAATGAGCCTGATGCCGTTTGTGTTGGAGAGCTAATGGGCAGGATTCACTCCCTGACCTGCTCCAGGACCGGTCTTGTTCATGCCTGCCATCTCACCCGGGCGTGCTGCCAGCCGCCCGCTCCCATGCGCAGGCAGCTCTCTGAAGGTCACACTTGCTGCCAGCAGATGTGCCTTGGGTAGGCAGGACATCTCCGTGCCTCCTATACCGGGAAAATAGGTTGCAGGGAAAAGCTAAGGCTTGGGCAGTCCCTGCTGTCACCGAGGTGTCCCCAGGGGGGCACCACCCCATCCCCTCAAACCTGTGGGGTGGAAATGACCGGATTGGCTTTCTCTGAAACACGCAGGACGAGAGAGCTGCTGGTTTGGAGGTCTGTGCTGTCCTGACCCCCCGCCTCTTCCCAGCAGCCTCGCACAGATCACGTACCTTTTTACCGCTCCTCGTTATCGTCCTCATCAATAATTAAGCTGCAAGTCCCTCGCTGTTGGTTGCGCCAGGAAGCGGAGGCCGGGTGCGCTCTCCCTGCACTCAGCCTCCCGCGGGGAACAGCCTGTCCCTGTGCGCGCGCTTGCTTAATTGCTTGTGACACTGTTAAATATGGATCTTGGTGGCTTTCCAAGGGCACCCCGGCAGAAGTGCTGTACAAAGGAACCATTACCAGGATAATCGGAGAAGACAGCCCCAGCAGAGCAGAGAAGGCGAGAGAGGATGCCATGCCCAAAGGACATGTCATCTACGAAGGGAAGAAAGGCCACGTGCTCTCCTATGAGGGTAAGTCGTAATCCTCTGCCTTTTTAGGGCAGGCGCCGGGGGTTTGTGCCGCTGCGGCTGGGAGTCGGGAGCTATTTGAGGAAAGGCTGATGAAGTGCAACGAGCCAGCCTCATGTCTTCCCTTCCAGTATCGTTTCTCCCCCTTCCCACCCCACCTGCCTACAGCCTGGCTGGGTTTCCCTCTGTCCCATGTGGTTATCTTGCCTTGGAGGTGGCTTTGCCAGCAGGCAGGGGCGCGATAGGGCCATGGCAGTGGGCAGGGTCTCTGGTTTTGGGGAGCAGGGGAGTGGAAAGGACCAGATGGGAGGGTATTGCCTTCATTCCTAGCACCTGTGCACAATGGCACTGTCTGAAAATGTTGTAAGAGCATCCCCAAGTTCTTGGGCCAAGGTGGGACTCAAGAACCTGCAAGATGGAGGCAAGTCAAGTAGTTTGGCTTAAAGGTTTATTCAGATGTCAGATTCCCACCTGCAGTGTCGTGGGCACCATGCAGCTTTCCCAGCATGGGGCTGCTCTGCAGGAATCCTCCTGGGCCCAGCAGGACCGTGCCTCAGTATCTTGTGAGCTTTGCTACAGCATCGTAGCTATTGGAGGGAACGAAGCCATTCCCACGTCCCACAAGGAGCCTGCTGGGGAGTGCATTGGCCTGTTGCTGGCTGCTATTGCCTGGTGGCGCTGAGGACCCCGAGGGACCTGCCTGGAGCCCCGTCTGGGGTGAGAAGCTGCCCCCAGCACAGATGGTGTCACTTGTTAACCAGGCTGACCCTGCCCAGCCGGGGAGCAGAGTACAGCAAAGCAAAGCCAGGCAAGCAGCCGGGCTGCTCCAGAGAGGGCTCTGGAGAGACCTGAAAGCCATGTTGCAGCTCTCATCCCTGCTGTACAGTAACGGGCTTCCTCGGTAGATACGGACGGTGCCTTGCTGCGTTAGCGGTATCAGCAGGCAGTCACCAGCTGCTCCTGCCTCCTCCACGCCTGCTCATCCCATCGCAGCACTGGCCATCAAAGCTTCTCTGTGAGTCCCGGTGGCTCCCGTTAGAGATAAGCAGATGTTCCTCTCCAGTGAAGCTGGAAACGATTCCTCCGTGCTCACCTTTTGCCATGTGCTGGGTCAGCCATCTCTGGCGTGGAGCCGGGCTCCTCCTCACCCGCAGCTGGAGTCGGGAAGAGCTGATTTATAGACACCGCAGCCCTGCATCCTCCTGGGGTAAAATACTGATGTGTGCTCTGGCGTGCATGGGGACAGCCGTCCTCGTGTGTCACCTCTCTTCTCAGTTGAATTTGGAGATGACTAAGGAGCAGATCCTAATCTCAGCCGCACTCACCCACCTCAGCAGGTATCTCTGGTCGGCCGCTGCGCTGCCGAGCCCTCTGCCTCCCTGCCCAGGGTGGCTGCATCCCTCCCTGGGGCAGAGCATCCCTTTTAGTCTGCCGGGCAGCCTGGGCCCTGTGGTCAGTCCTGCAGGCAGAAGGTGTCCAGCACAAGTCCCTTTCCTCTTGCCCGCAAGCTGTTTTCATCGCAGGCTGGTTGTTTCATCTGGGGCCAGAGGCAGAGGGTTCAGGTCAGGCCATGGGGGACAACTTGCAAGCTTCAGCTGGTGCCACCTCTGTTGTGTTGCCCTGGTCCGCAGGGACCTTTCAGGACAGGGCTCTGTTCTGTGCCTCTCACCCTCCATGTGGAAACCAGCTTGTCCCACGCCTGCCCGCCTTCGCTGTCAACTCTAGCCCAGATAAGAAGTGTCACCGCAGGAGACTTGTGCCTGGGCGCCCTTTGGGACAGTTGGCAGGGCTCGGACCAGGGAGGACACAGGAAGCATTTCAGAACTTGTTTATGCAAGAAGCTATTTTAATCTCCTTTGCCCGGGCTTGGAGTCGAATGAGGTTGATCTCAAAAACGGTGCCGCCGGGGAAAAGATGGGGAAGGCTCCTGGTGGTAAGGACTGCTTGTTCCCAGAGCTGGGATCCCGCTTCAGGCAGCGAGGGAGACCTGCAGACCAAACTTCCCTATTGGTGTCAGCCCGAGTCTCCTCAGCCACAGTTTGAGCCCATCGCCTCTCGTCCTACCCCCCGTGGACACAGATGAGGAATTAATTCCTTCCTCTCTGCGGCAGCCTTTTACATGCTTGATAGCGTTTATCACATCCTGAGTAGCCTCGCCTGCTTCTGCAGCCTAGCCAGCCCCGCTGCCTGCCTCCTTCCCCCGTACAGCCCGGCAAGGCTTCACAGCCCGCAGCGGAAGAGTTAAAAAAAAAATTAAATAAGAAAACCGAAATTGTTGGTGATTATGAATTTTGGCAAGCAGAAAAAAAATTGCAAATTCTTTAGTGTCATGAGGGTGCTTAAAATAAAAGAGCTGTAATGAGACGAGATCCTGTAGCATGTGCAAGCTGAATTGTGCTAGATTGGTTATTCTCATTCTGCATATGATTGCTGATGGCTTCTGCAAGGCAAGGGACATGGGTTTGGAGTGATTTTCTTTCTGTTTAGTCTCTCTTCTCCCTCACGCCCTCCCCCTGCTTCCCAGCGGTACAAAGGGTGCCCGGGACCACGTCCCCTTCTGCAGAAGGGTTGTTAGCAACAGATGTGCCTTGATGACAGGGTGCAGGCACGTCACCCCGCATCTGCCGCAAGGTGCTGGCTGATTCTGAACATCACCCCTGGATTTCTCCGGTCAAATGAATCTGAAGTGAAGGCTCAAGGACAGATCCCCCTCTTGTTTCCCCACACGCAGCCCTAAAACCTTTCTGGATTGAGTGGGTGCTGACTGCGGAAACCAATAGTGGGTGTGAAGGTGTAATAATCCCATTTTATTCATTACTGGTTTTGCCAAGGAGGACTTTTGTTCCCAATTGTCTGTGATGGAATGAATGTTTTTAACTTCTCCTCCGTTTTCGCTAATTGTGTAACCACCTTCTCTGCCCACAAAGAGGAGGATCGGGGCATCCTTGGCAGGGGTGGCCAGGCCAGGGACGATGGGCAGAGGCGTTTATCTCTCCAAGCCAACATCCCCACTCAGAGCTCGTTACATAAATGCGAGGCGTTCAGCTGGATCAGAAGCTGCCTGCTAAATTCACAGCTCACCGCACATGATGGGTGCCCAGCGCCCAGGGCGGGCGTGATGCTGCCTGGCATGGGCAGGGCCGTGCTTGCAGAGGCGTGGGGGCTGTCACTCAGGGCAGTTGTCCACTGTTGGTTTGCAGCAGAATCTACTCCAGGTTTGGATGAGGAGGTGGTCAGTGATCTCCCGTCACACTGCCGCTTGCTGCATCAGTCCTGCCTGGGACTTTTTGCCATCTCTCCCAGTTCTTTTGTGCACTCACCACTGTTTCAAAGGAATTGCTCTCAGCTTTGCCTCTCCCCCCTTTTCCCTGGTTTTCTCACCCAGGGAGTGTCTCAGCAAATGTTAAGGCTGGCCAAGATCCCAAACAGTAGGTGTCTAGCAAAAATCAAAACAAACGGGGGGGAAAATAAAAATCCCCAGACCCACAGGGCCAAGTTCAGTGGAACCGCAGCTGCTCACACCAGCGCCGCGCCGGCTCCGGGCTGTCCCACTGCCTACATCTGGCCCCCACCAGGGTGGGAGGGAGCGGGACACAACAGGGCGGATGCTCCTACCCGAGCAGGAGGCGCAGATCTGGAGCCTGAGACAGGCAGGGAGGGGAGAAAACATCAGCTGAATTTCTTGGAAGCCAACCTCATGCGATGTTTCTGGCGTTGCTGAGCATTGGCTGATGCTGGGATGGGATCTGACCTTTCAGCAACGCACGCAAACAGCAGTAAACACCCTCCCTTGGCTGGTGCTGACTTTCCGTGCTCCTGATGATGCTTCTCGGTGTTCCCTTCCTCAGGTGGAGTTGCGGCTTCTCAGTGTCCCAAAGAAGACAGCAGGAGCTCAGGAGCTTCGCATGAGACCACAGGAACCAAGCGGACCTACGATATGATGGAGGGAAGGATCAGCCGGGGTTTATCAGCCCGTGATACCTTATCTGCCAGCATTGAAGGTGGGTCTGGGTGAAATCTTTCACCCATGCTGTGTTAGTAGTGTCCAAGAAAGAACCCATCTTGTCTACATGATGCACCTCCCCATGCCCGTATTTCGGCAGCAGTTAGCTGGCACCCTGCAGCACATCCCAACAGGACAGCATCTGACCAGAATGGGAAAACAAGGGACACAGACTGGCCCATTGGCCTTTGGTTTCTGTCCTGGCAGAACAGTTTCAGGACTACAAAAAAATGAAGCACATCTTAAAAAAAGAGAAATCTAGTAATTTAGAAATTGTTGATGTTTTTCCTTGTTGCCCCAGGAGTCCCTCATAACACTGTCATGTTTTCTTTCGCCCTTGGATCTGTTCTAGGTCTCATGGGTCGAGCGATCCCTCCAGACCGACACAGTCCTCATAACCTAAAGGAGCAGCATCACATGCGGGGCTCAATTACACAAGGTAAAGCCTGCAAGCAGAAGATGGCCATGGCCAAAGGTAACATGAGCAAGTGTCTCACGTGCATGGCCCCTTGTTCTTGTCGTCAGGCTAGAGCAGGAAGAAACAAGGATGGACACATCAAGGTCCAGCTGCAGATCTCTGCAGCCTTGGATATGTGCTCAGAGAGATTTTCAGTCTTTTCAGCTTTTACCAACCTAAGCTCTCATCAAAATCAGGGGTAAAATTCTCAGTGACTCGCATGAAGGCAGGTTGAAATTAGTGCAGAATGGGTCCAGAAAGCAGTGGTAGATGTGGGGTGGTCCAGCTGCATTAGTGATGTAGCTGCTCTGTGTGCTCAGTTGGGTACCAGTCCCTGAGTTACATGCATTAACTAGAGACCCCCTTGAACTGAGCATCTGCACGGGGACTGGGAGTCCAGTGTGTGGCTGGGAAATCACCCTCTGCATCCATCATCTGCTTGGGGGTTGCAGGAATACCTCGGTCCTACGTGGAGGCCCATGAGGACTACCTCAGAAGAGAAGCCAAACAGCTCAAGAGGGAAAACACTCCACCAAGGGACTTATCTGATGCCTACAAGGTCAGGTCTCACGAGGGCCTTACTCCTCTGAAAATGAAACCAGCCCATGAAGGCCTGGTGGCCACGGTGAAAGAAGCGGGAAGATCAATCCATGAGATTCCCCGGGAGGAGCTGAGGCGGACACCAGACATCTCTCTGACGAGACCTCTGAAGGAAGGCTCCATCACGCAGGTGAGTATGGGGCAAACAGCAGGATGAGATCGATCCTACTTAGGCTGCTGTCCTTGCACAGCCCCTGGGGACCATTCCCAAGGTAGAAGAAGAGCAGAGAGAGCTTTGGGTTGCAAACACATCACTGGTCAGAATTGAGACTCTGCTTGGGTACAGGTTCCCCTTCCCCATCATGTGATCTTCAAAGGTCCCTTCCAACCCAAACTGTTCTGTGATTCTATGATCCTTCCCAGCAGATAAATGCAAAACCTGGGGAAAGGAGCTCAGCACCCCCGACCTGTTAAGAAAGTGATGCTTCATCCACACGCATACATGGAAGGGGACACATTTGGCTCTTGTTCAAGGGCAGAGACAACTTGGTGCCCTTGGTAGTTATGACTCTGGGTGCACATAATCTTGGTCTCCTCCCTTTATGGGCAAGTGTCAACACAGCAAGGCCAGTATTTAGGGTGAAACGTGGCATGCTGTCTCCTGTTGGGCTCCAAATATTTGGAGGGTTCCCATGACACCTCACAGTCCTACCTCATTTCACAGTGTGTGTAGGAGAGAGGCGTGATGGGCACAGCCAGCCTTCGGTGGTGACTCATCATCATCTTGTTGGAGCGCAACAAGACATGCAGGATGGGCACTCCACCCTGCCCTGCGCCGTGCGGAGCTGTTATCTCTGCTTTGCTGATGGCTGTTGCTGTTTGACCAAGTAAACTGCTGTACTGATCCACTGAAAGAGGAAGCACAAGTCAGAATGGGAAAACAAGGGACACAGACTGGCCCATTGGCCTTTGGTTTCTGTCCTGGCAGAACAGTTTCAGGACTACAAAAAAATGAAGCACATCTTAAAAAAAGAGAAATCTAGTAATTTAGAAATTGTTGATGTTTTTCCTTGTTGCCCCAGGAGTCCCTCATAACACTGTCATGTTTTCTTTCGCCCTTGGATCTGTTCTAGGTCTCATGGGTCGAGCGATCCCTCCAGACCGACACAGTCCTCATAACCTAAAGGAGCAGCATCACATGCGGGGCTCAATTACACAAGGTAAAGCCTGCAAGCAGAAGATGGCCATGGCCAAAGGTAACATGAGCAAGTGTCTCACGTGCATGGCCCCTTGTTCTTGTCGTCAGGCTAGAGCAGGAAGAAACAAGGATGGACACATCAAGGTCCAGCTGCAGATCTCTGCAGCCTTGGCTATGTGCTCAGAGAGATTTTCAGTCTTCTCAGCTTTTACCAACCTAAGCTCTCATCAAAATCAGGGGTAAAATTCTCAGTGACTCGCATGAAGGCAGGTTGAAATTAGTGCAGAATGGGTCCAGAAAGCAGTGGTAGATGTGGGGTGGTCCAGCTGCATTAGTGATGTAGCTGCTCTGTGTGCTCAGTTGGGTACCAGTCCCTGAGTTACATGCATTAACTAGAGACCCCCTTGAACTGAGCATCTGCACGGGGACTGGGAGTCCAGTGTGTGGCTGGGAAATCACCCTCTGCATCCATCATCTGCTTGGGGGTTGCAGGAATACCTCGGTCCTACGTGGAGGCCCATGAGGACTACCTCAGAAGAGAAGCCAAACAGCTCAAGAGGGAAAACACTCCACCAAGGGACTTATCTGATGCCTACAAGGTCAGGTCTCACGAGGGCCTTACTCCTCTGAAAATGAAACCAGCCCATGAAGGCCTGGTGGCCACGGTGAAAGAAGCGGGAAGATCAATCCATGAGATTCCCCGGGAGGAGCTGAGGCGGACACCAGACATCTCTCTGACGAGACCTCTGAAGGAAGGCTCCATCACGCAGGTGAGTATGGGGCAAACAGCAGGATGAGATCGATCCTACTTAGGCTGCTGTCCTTGCACAGCCCCTGGGGACCATTCCCAAGGTAGAAGAAGAGCAGAGAGAGCTTTGGGTTGCAAACACATCACTGGTCAGAATTGAGACTCTGCTTGGGTACAGGTTCCCCTTCCCCATCATGTGATCTTCAAAGGTCCCTTCCAACCCAAACTGTTCTGTGATTCTATGATCCTTCCCAGCAGATAAATGCAAAACCTGGGGAAAGGAGCTCAGCACCCCCGACCTGTTAAGAAAGTGATGCTTCATCCACACGCATACATGGAAGGGGACACATTTGGCTCTTGTTCAAGGGCAGAGACAACTTGGTGCCCTTGGTAGTTATGACTCTGGGTGCACATAATCTTGGTCTCCTCCCTTTATGGGCAAGTGTCAACACAGCAAGGCCAGTATTTAGGGTGAAACGTGGCATGCTGTCTCCTGTTGGGCTCCAAATATTTGGAGGGTTCCCATGACACCTCACAGTCCTACCTCATTTCACAGTGTGTGTAGGAGAGAGGCGTGATGGGCACAGCCAGCCTCCGGTGGTGACTCATCATCATCTTGTTGGAGCGCAACAAGACATGCAGGATGGGCACTCCACCCTGCCCTGCGCCGTGCGGAGCTGTTATCTCTGCTTTGCTGATGGCTGTTGCTGTTTGACCAAGTAAACTGCTGTACTGATCCACTGAAAGAGGAAGCACAAGTTTTTTGGTGGGAGGCAGTTGCTGCATCCCCTTCTGCTCTACAGCCTTTTGACGTCCCCTCTGCCTTCTGTCCTCAGGGTACCCCACTGAAGTACGACAGTGGCTCTTCCTCCTCGAGTACCAAAAAGCATGACGTGCGGTCCATCATCGGCAGTCCCAGCAGGACTTTTCACTCGGTGCACTCACTGGATGTCATCCAAGACCCAAGGAATCTGGAGAGAGCTTATGAAGAGAGCCTGAAAAACAGGCCAAGCCCGGTGACAAACTCAGGAGGCTCCATCGCCAGAGGGGCTCCTGTGATTGTACCTGAGCCGGGCAAGCCTCACCAAAGTGCCCTCGCCTATGAGGACCACCAGGCAGGGCACAGCACGGCGTTCGGCAGCCACTTGCACAGAGGGTCTCCGGTCTCCACACGGGAGTCCACGCCGCGGCAGCACGAAGGTACTTGGTGAACCTTTTATTTGATGCTGAGCTTTCAAGCCAGCTGAGCAGGCAAGGTGCACAGGAGGTGGCTGCTGACCCCCCCTGCCCGAGCCGTTCCCGGCAGGTGCCTGTCAAACCCGTTCTCCCCAGCACTCCACACCCACTCTTGCCCGCAGCCATGGCTGACTCACGGCACTGGGGCGGCTGTCGGGGACGGCTAAGGCTCAGCTCCCTCCCTGGGGGAGCTCACACGGTTGCAGCGAGGGTACCCCACCGCTGTGCTGGGATGACCAAAGGGAGATTGGGCTGTGGCTGGTGAAGCTGAGGATGTTTAGAAAGCATATTCCCTGTCCCAGCGTTGGCCCAGGCACCCCTGTTTCTACAGGTGGGCAGGAAAGCAATGCTCGATGCACCATGTGGGGGATCTTCACACTTTTCAGCTATCTGGTGTGTGTTTGCCTATCATCTCATGTGTTTATGCCTCACCCATCACCTCGGCACCTGAGTACCTCACCTCCAGGAACATCTAATCCCTTCCGAGCTGGTAGATCTGGGCAATGTGGCTGGCCTTTGGGATCTAACATCCTCTTGACCCATCTGCCTGCACCAGGCAGGGTCTGCCCGTGCCCCCTGGCACCAGTCGTCTCCTGCCCCTAGAGACAGACCTGGGGCTCCTGGGGAGCAAGCACTTGTCTGGGCTGTGCTCAGTGACCTGGTGAGACACGCTCAGATCCAGAGCACAGAAAACCCTCTTGCTTCATGCCACGTTTGTGGGCAGGATTGGTGCTGAAGCCAGTCCCTGGGACACCTTGTCTCACCAAGCCTGCTAGCTACGGGTAACTGCTTTGGGGCCATTTGCCTGCAAATCCTTAACCTAACCTAAAAGTCTCATGATTTGGGGACGTGCAGCACAAGACAACGCAGTCTGCCAAAACCGAGGCCAAGACAAGGGGCGAGAGATGGGGCTGTGCAGTGCAGAGCTCCTCCAAAAAGCCTCCCCCGTCGCTCGCTGCCGGCTGGGCCAGCTCCAGGTCTCCATGGTTGGTGTGTCCCATTGCCACAGCCTCTGCTGTCTTCCCGGTTAGATCAATCATTTTTGGGGAAGCCTTCAGAAGTTGGCAGCTCTCTGAGATTGGCACATACAGTGAGCACAAGGCAGGGAAGGCAGTAGCTGGGCAGTGGGGAAGGATCCCAAGGGAAAGAATCAATGTTCCTGCAAAATGCCAGTGAGAAAGTGGATTTCTGCATGTCCAGAGCTCACAGGGGTTTGGGGTGCAGAGGATCTGCAGGAGTCCCCAAGGCATGTGTTGGAGTTGGAAGGCAACTTTTCTGAGTTGCCTGAGCTTTCCTTCTGCCCCGACAGTAGGTTTGATTTATTAGTGGCCTCACCAAGACGCCGAGATTCATGAAAGGAGTGGGAGCAGCAGTTCACATGGCCCATGTCACAGCCAAGGTTGCTTTAAAGTTGGCAGTGATGGGGCTGGATCCATCTGCGTGCACCCAAGGGGGCTGTTCCTTGCTCCCCAAGCCAGAGCCGGGCAGCGTTTGGGGTGCACTTTGGTGCAAGGGGTTTGGTCTCACTCCTTGGAGGTGGCTCTGCGTTACGGGCACAGGAACTGGTGATGCTCTCCCCGGGCAGGGCAAGAAGCATGACCAATACCCAGCTCAGGCTAGGAGAGCCTAGAGAAATCCCAGACATGATCCAACCTCCCCTCCATGTGCTGGGAAAGAGCTTACGGCTCCAGAGGGTGGCGGTTGCTCGAACCCTCTGAACTGCATTTTATCACCATTGCTGGGAGCTTCAGGGTCACAGTCTCTTCTTGGCAGCGGTGACCTGCTTGTGCCGAGGAGCACAGCAGCAAGGCTCCACCGCCAGCTGCTTGGCAGGCCAGGATGAACTCTCAGACCGCCTGGTGTGGCTGCGGTGGATGCACTGGGGTGGAAGGATGGTTTGGGATGGGCTGCTTCTCCTGGGTGTGACCAGGGCTTGGCGCACTTCGGCCTTGGTGGCGTAACGGGGCACGGCAGTGCAGGGAGGAGGGAAAGGTCCCTCAAGTTCAGGGCAAGCTGCAGGAGTCCCTGGGGTACAGGCTTGGCCGCAGGCACCCCTTGGGGACGCAGCTTGGCTGTGGTGCTCAGCCTCTGACTCATTTCCTTCTGCTCACTGCAGGGAGCATCACTGCTGGGAAGCCAGTGTCCCAGGACAGAAAGATCACCCCCACGTCAAGAGAGCTCACCAACTCCAAGTCTCCGCATGCCCCTGTGGCCGACCACCACCACCCTATCTCCCCGTATGAGCACCTGCTCCGTGGCGTGAGTGGGGTCGACCTGTACCGAGGACACATCCCACTGGCTTTCGACCCCGCCGCCATCCCAAGGGGAATCCAACTGGAAGCAGGTACCTTCGGTGGGGGCATGGTCTATTTGGGGTTGGGTTTTGTCGTGTTATGCTCCAAAAGCCCGAGGTCTCTGGGGAGAGACACTTCATGTCTGCATCCTCTTCTTTCCCAGCTGCTGCTTACTACCTGCCAAGGCATCTGGCTCCGAGCCCCACGTACCCCCACCTCTACCCCCCGTACCTCATCCGGGGCTACCCGGACACAGCTGCCATGGAGAACCGACAGACCATCATCAATGACTACATCACGTCCCAGCAGATGCACCACAACGCCGCAGCCACGGCCATGGCACAGCGGGCAGACATGCTGCGTGGCTTGTCGCCCCGGGAGCCCTCCCTCGCCCTCAACTATGCAGCAGGTCCTCCCAGCATGGCATCGTCCGGGGGTTTGGGGGCATTTGGGGAGGAGGAGGCTGAGTCAGGCCAGTACCACCAGCTCCAGTGCTGGGGCCAAGGGCTGAGCCAGCAGCACGGTGTCACCCAGCAGTGCAGGAATGGGGCTGGTCAGCATGGAGGACAACCGGGGGGAATTTGATGCACTTTTTGCCATCTTTAGTTACTTGAGGCTCCTTACATGCAGCTCTGGTTTTGGGTCATGGGAGCACTTCCCAGCCTGGCCCTGCTGGCCTTTGGAGATTAAAATACACTCCCAGAAGGATATCTGGCACTCAGCAAAAAGCAGAGCGTGCTGGGGAGTGTGCGGGGTGCGGTGCAGAGCTCCTGCCCCTCTGCAGGTGGAGCAGCATCGGTCTCTGGCTGGGGGGAGCTGTAGCTGATGCCGCCTGCAGCCCCCTCGCTCAGCAGGGATAGATCTCAGCATCCTTCCTCCCCACTGTTCCCAGCAGCAGGACACATTGTATTTGCCCACAGAAGGGTCCCTTCCCCTGAGAACCAGCAGCTGGGGACCGTGTGCTCACTGGCACCTCCTGCACTGCACCAGAGCAGCGGGATGGGTCAACCCTCCCCAGCATCACTCCCTGCTCCAGCGCGGCCAAGCTGCAGTGGCTCAGGGTCATCCTGACAGTCCTCTCATTTCTCTTTCCAGGCATCATTGACCTGTCCCAAGTGCCACACCTGCCCGTCCTCGTGCCCCCCACCCCCGGCACCTCCGCCACCACCATGGACCGCATCACCTACATCCCCGGGCCCCCACAGACCTTTGGCAGCCGGCACAGCAGCTCCCCACTCTCCCCAGGTAACACTGCAGGTTGCTTTTCCCATGGGAAAGCAGTTGGGCAGGACACCCTTAGCCAATTCAGGGCCGTGAACTCCGCATGCCAGGGCAAATGGGGGAGCCCAAATTCATTTTCAGGGACCAGTCCACTGGCTCCTTCAAACCAGCTCCTCTGATCCTGCTTGTTGGGGCATCCTTGCTTTTCCCCCTTCCCCAAAGTGGCAGCTGGCACACAGCTTTGTGGAAGGTTGTACCCTGGAGGCAGTGCCAGGACAGTTATTGCATGATTTGCTTGGGTTTTGTCACACCAGTTGCCCTGATCTGTCCTGCTCCAGGTGACCTTGGATGGAGCCGTTCCTTATCTGCTCTGCAGACACAGCAATGTGAAGAGCAGGCGGTGTTCCCTGGGTGGAATCACTGTGTCTGCAGCCCTTTCACTGCCTTTCGGTTGGGTTTCAGGAGGCCCCACACACATGACCAAACAGTCAGGATCGTCGGTGTCTGAGCGGGAACGGGAGCGGGAGAGGGAGCGTGAAAAGTCCATCCTAGCATCCACCACGGTGGAGCATGCACCCATCTGGAGACCAGGTAGGCTGGGGAGGAGCCCGGCACCACATGTTGGGGCCTGTGCTGGATGGAGGTAGGGTTGGGACTATAAAACAAAAAGCTAAAGAAACCCTTCTTTGCATTTTCCCCCAGGTACAGAGCAGTCCAGCAGCCGTTCGTCCTCGCACTCTCACAGCCACCAGCACTCTCCCGTCTCACCCCGCACCCACGAGACCATCCAGCAGCGCCCCAGCGTGCTCCACAACACGAGCATGAAGATCATCTCCTCGGAGACCCCCACCCCTTCCGTCCTGCGGTATGTCTCCCCGCCATGGTTCCTGCCACTGGCCTGGACCCCTGCACCTGGGCAGTTGTGGAGGTTAATTAACGAGCATCACAAGGGGCACCTCTGAGATGGAGCGAGGGTTGTTTTGACCTTCAGTCAGGAGCAGGATTGGGACTTACAGGGAAGTTGTGATGGTCAGAGGTGGATTTTGGTGCCTAGTTCCTTTACTTTCCTTGTGGTTTTTACTGCTACCAGACAAGAAAGCAGGAGCATCCCAGGGCTGTCTGTCCTCAAATCACATAGGCAAGAGGGTATCGCTCCTCTTGCTGAAGATTGCCTGGCGGTAGAGGTCTCTGGGACCTGTCCCACAGGTTTTGTTCTCCCTAGTCGATGCATCCAGGCCACAGCCAATACCCTGTGGCCAGTTATTGTTGTGGAGGCTCCATCTGAGCCCTCCTCACCTGCTCCAGCACAGGCCAACCCTATGCTCAGGAGACCTCAGCCAGGCAGGGCTGAACACCGGGGCTCTGGTAACAGAACTCCCTTTTCTCATCTTTGCCTTATCTTCGTTTGCCTGCCAGATCCTCCTCCACCACTACCACATCACCAATCCGCTCCGCTGCCTTCCCCTCAGCCTCCGCCCTGCGCTCCTCCATCGGTGCGGCAGACGGCTACGCAGCCCTGATGGACCCAGCTGTCCTGCAGAAAGAGGCCTCGAGGGTGCGGGAAGCCAAGGCAGAACGACCCCAGACTGACAACAACGTCTTCACCTCAAAGCTGCCCAGTGGGGCCAACCTTGAACAGTCACCTTCACCCATTAAAGGCATGGAGTCGAGACCTTTACCTGCCTCTGGACCTGGTTCTTCTCATCACTATAGCAGGGGACAGGGGAAAAGCCAGCAGCACCATCACCCTCTGGACCAGCAGCATGCAGCCTTGGGCCCCGAGCAGCACAGTAGAGAAAAGAGTCAAAGTAAACCCTTTTCAATGCAGGAACAGGAGCTCCGAGCACTCGGTAAGACCACCACGACAGCGGCCAACTTCATAGATGTGATTATCATGCGCCAAATGTCTTGCGATAAGGGGCAGCGAGAAAGAGGCTCGCTAAGTAACGACTCCACTAGCGATGGTAAGAAATTGGAGGGGAGAGGCAAGAGAGCTGTGGCCTGAAACCCATTTTATTTCATTCTTTCTTATTTTTAGTTGCACGTTTTGGCTGTTGGCTTTGTCAGCTCCCCCAGCGTGCTTCTCCCTCTGCTTCCCAGTTGTTGTGTTACTCCAGACGTTTTTATTTGTGTGTGTTTTAGGGATCTTCCTTTCTCCCACCCTCTTTTATTTTTTCTCATTGCCAAGTCCTGTTTTGCAAACGTTGTTCAGTTCCTGGTATTGCTTTTTACAGACAATAGCAATTTGCTAATTCTGATTTCCCCATCATTAGAAATTCCTAGTCAGTCTGTAAGGAACAGTTGTGAGTAGTAAATCAAACGAGCAAAGCACAGAACTGGGAGTGTGAGTGGGACAGTGCTGCTGGCCTTCAGATACATGCTGTTTTGCTGTTGAGCATGCAGGATCTCAGAGGGCTTTGCGGGCTGTGATGGGGTCCCCTGGCTTGGAGTGACCTCGCTCAGGGTCCTGGGTGCTGGATGCTGCACAAGAGCAACGCAGGCAGGGCTGTCCAGGGATCACTCAGCCCACCCATGCTTGGCAGCCATTTCCAGAGCAGACCACAGGAACCACCTAACAGCAGTCTCGTGTAGGACACAAAAGTGCTGGGATAAGTTTCTCCAGATGGAAGTGCAGGGAGGTGGCTGGATTCAAGGTCTAGATCATTCATCCAGGCTCCCACCAGCATACAGAAGCAGCAGGCAGCCCGCAGGGATTTGATGGGACCCTTTCTTCAGGTTGAAGCATCTGCGTTGGCCATCAGCATTGGGGGTTGCTACCCAGCTCCCCTCCCTGTAACCCAAGGGTGGAAAGGACACAACAGCATGGCCAGGGAAGGAGAGCTGCTCTGGCCAGCACATCCCAAACCACCCATCACACCACTTGGTCATGTCTGGTCCTGGCCCCTCTAGCAGCGTGCTCCAAGGCCAAGGATGTGCCTCTGGCCACGGTGCGCTGCCTGGCTGAGCTTTCCTCCGCCTTTTTCCCTGAGTGTTGTCATGCTGTGGAGGAGAGGGGCAGCTTTTCTATGGCCATGAGCTTACAGAAAGGAGCTGGTGTTCCCCAAGATTTAACTGTTGGTTAGGGATCTTTCCAGAGCAGGACGTTTCATTTTGGTTGGATCTGAAGTGTGGTCCCTTCATTGCTGGCATGCATGGGGTGAAGGGAGGTGCTGCATCCCTGTCCCTGACGCAGGGAGGTTCTCCATGGGGGTCCTCCCCTACCCATGTCCCTGGTACATGCAACATCAATGTGTCCGTGCCTCGGCACCGGGGACCCTCCGGCAGCGCTGTGGGTCGCCTGCCAGATTTGCCTGCAGTGGGCAGTTTCTAGGAATTGAGCGTTAGGAGGATAAAGGTCTGTGGAGGCAAAAGTTGTGAGTTACCAAACGTGCTTAGCTGGCGAGAGGCAGCGTGTGCCTTCTCCGGGACTCCTCTGTCCTCCACCCCTGCTCTGTGGGAGCATAACTCATCTGTGCCTCAGTTTCCCCTCTGTTGAAGAATAATGGTGATCCCTCATTCCAGCTCTGCTTGCTTTGATGCAGCTTGAGTCCACGCAAAGGGCTTTAAAGGCAGAGAATGGTCAAGAAGCTTTTTTGCCCCTGCAGCGTGCGAGTCTGCTGTCTCTGGAGCAGGATCTGGAGTCTGCAGGACCTCGTGCCCTATGTTCAAGAGGCTCTTGGCCATGCTGGCCTTGGGGCTTTTCTTTGTAAAGCATTTGAGACCTCCTGTGCAGCCACCTCTGCTGCTGCAGTGTGTTGTTTCCCTCCTGGCATAGTGGGGTTTTTATTTTTCTGTTTCAGTAGATGGGGGAAAGGAGGGGAACAAGTTGTGAACCCACAGTGGTTGAATTTGGTTCCTGACTCTCGTGCTGTCACCGCAAGCTGCTGAGTGTCCAGCTCTGCAGGAATGAGCCATCACCTCTTTACTGCAGCCATCACCACAGCTGGACATCAGCGGTGGCACCGGGGGTCCCTGCAATATGACCTGCCAGGTCTTCCCTCATCTCTTTTTTTTTTCCCCCCTTTGCCAAATATGTGACTCTGCCCACAAGCAATGGTTGCCACAGCCCTCGGGAAAAGCCAAGCGAGCTCCTGGTTTTAACTTCCTTCTCCATGTTTCTCCAGGCTTTCACGGAGGCTACAGCCCTGAGCGGATGGAAGCAGTGAGTCCTGTGAGCTCGCCCAGCCTGTCACATGAGAAAGGGGCCAAGCTGCTGCAGGATGCGGAGAAAGGGCACGGGGAGCATGACCTGAGGCAGAAACAGCAAGGTGAGGGCAGGGGCTGGCAGTGCCCGGAGAGCCTGAGCTGGCATGCGGGTGTTTCATCACCCAGCTCTTGCTCACCGTGCCCCAGTGCTGTGCTGGGATGGTGTTTGAGGAAGGGGACACAAACATCATCTCATGCCTGCTCTTTTCTTTGCGCCTCCCCCAGGCTCGCTGAAGGCCTCGGCTCCTGAAGCAGCCCACCTGCAGCACCTCCGGCAGCCCGATGGCCCCCAGCCCCAGTGCCAGCCCCTGCAGTCCAGCCAGAGCATCAAGGGCATGAACCAGCGGGTGGTCACGCTGGCCCAGCACATCAGTGTAATTAAGCTCATTCTCACCTTCCCGCTGGGGCTCTGGAGGGGAAGGAAGAACTCATATGAAACATTTCTGATGGGGAAGGGTTGGGAGTGATGCTAGAGACCTCAGCACCCCTGGTTGGGGGCTGGAGAGAGCAGGGTGCATCAGGCATGTTCAGCCCAGGTGTTTGCTTCCCCAACGAGAGCTGCTGTAGGCAGGAGGCAGACATTAGATCCCCATGGGACAAACCAGCCTAATTCCCTCCTGCTTGCCCTGTCTTAGTTGAGCCCAGCAAAGCAAGAGGTAGAAACCAACTCTACTTCTGTCTCGGGGTTTTCTTCTTCTAGGAGGTCATCACGCAGGACTACACACGCCATCACCCGCAGCAGCTCAACTCCCACATCCAGACCCCGGTGTACTCCTTCCCTGGGGCCGCATGCCCCGTGCTGGACCTGCGCCGCACCCCCAGTGAGGCATATCTGCAGCAGCAGGAGCACGCGGCAGCCTCCAGGATCTCCCCGCAGAATGAAGGCGGCAAAAGGTGAGGTCAGGGAGTCCAACCAAAGCTGGCGCAGATGGGTTTCTGCCCACCCACTGTGCCAGTCTGAGCTCAGACAGACCAGGGCTGCCCAGGGCGAGGAGCCAGGTGGGTGCCCTTGGCTACCTGGTACCCCAGTAAGATGATGCACAGGGCAGGCTGGCATTTGGCGTTGCTGAATTTATGCTCCACAACTCAGGGCTCAGATGGGTCGCTTGCTTACACAGCCCAGAGTGTAAAATTGCCTTCTGATCTGGGCGTTTCTCCCCTGTGGTGGTGCCTCTCTTGCCAGTCCTGTTGTTATAGAGATGTACTCCAGACTCCCTTAGAGTCCATTCATGATCACCTTCCTGATCTGGCCACTGTCACAGGCTTGTTTAGGTGGGAAGGGACCTCTCCAGATCATCCAGCCCAACACTCTGCTCAAGCAGGTCCACTGGAGCAGATTGTCCACGGCCATGGCCAGTTGGGCTTTCAGTATCTCCACTGATGGAGACTTCAACATCTTTATGGGCAACCTGTGCCAGCATTTGAGCACACTCACAGTAAAACAGTGTTCTCTTGTGTTGGGATGGAATTTCATCTGTTTGGTTTGTGTCAGTTGCCCCTTGTCCTCAGTCCCTGGCAGATCACGGTGCAGTGACCTCTCAGACTACAGGTGGTTCCAAAACACCCAAACCAACATGTCCTTCATTGGTTCAAAGTTAATTTTATCGTCACCTCTGTCAGTGAATCAAAAGCTTGTTAGACACATGTGCCATGTCAACTGCAACTACCCATTTCAGGCACCACCTGTATTTCTTTTTAAAGTCACTTTCAAACCCTTGTGCACAAGGCAGGTCGTACAAAATTAAAAAATGGGAAATGTGACAATAGGGTCTGTCCTCCCACCCAAACACCAACAGAGACCCGGATGCATCCAGGAAAGAGTGGTGTCTCCAAACCGGTGGTTCCTTGTTAATAAATGTGCTTATTACTCCCAGCTCTGCCTGGTCCTAGAATTGGCTTTGTAACATTAGGGGAGAGAGCCCAGCCCTGGCCACCCAGCAATGAAAAGAAGTGGGGGAAAAAAAAAAGAAACCACAGAAAGAACAAAGACATAAATTCCCAGAACTTGCCGTGAGGAATTCCTCATGGGCTTGAGCCTGGCCGTCTCCCAGGCACTAGCCACGGGCAGGCATCGGGGGGTTGTGTCGGTCCTCTCTGGGCTGCCCCAGCCCCATTGCCCACAGCCAGTGAGCCCCTCCACAGCCCCAGACAAGGTGGACACAAGGTGGCAGGTGCTGCCCTCCCCTGCGTCTGCAAATACGATGGAGGGTCAAAAGCCATGTCCCCAAAAGGTTAATGTCCCAGCCCTCCACAGGGATTGTCTCCCTGCCAGCGAGGGACACTTGGGCTGAGCCAGCAAGTCCCAGAACTGGTCCTGCTGTGGGCAGCTGTATTTGGGGCAGCTGCCGGCTGGCCCGCTGCCTGGAAATCTGGGCCACGTCTCGGCTCCGTCCTGCTCCGCACGCCTGCTGTGCAGAAAAATGCCCAAGCTGTGCTCTTCCTCCAGCTCGCATTAAAAGGCACCGTGAGCCCACGGAGGGGGTGGAAGGTTTGGCTTTCTTTCACTGCCGTAGGAAACCTATTTTAGTCCTTCTCCCCCCCCTAACCCCAAGCTGCTGTGCAGAGGCAGAAGGTGTTGCAATAAACCAATTGCATCTCCCCATCACTCTCCACAGGTCCCCAGAGCAGAGCAAAGCCTCGGCCGGGAGCGGGTCAGACAACTGTATCGAGCCAGTGTCTCCACCAGACGGCGTGGGAGAATCGGAGCACGCCAAGAGCGCCACGTACCCGATCCTGTACCGCGAGGGCGAGCAGATAGACCAGAGGTAACGCCAAGGGAGAGGACAGTGGAGACAGCATGGGAATGTTCCCCCCATCCCCATGCTGTCCTTGGCCCAGACTGCCTTTCTTGCAGCCAGAAGAGATGTTACATCCCAGCTTACTGTCTTATTTGTAGGGGCTTTTCAACACCGTGTGGTACATTTATGGTAGGGATAGGGAGAAAGGTTGGAGACCCTGAGTATCTCGGGAGTCCCCAGGCTGACTTTGAGGACTTACATTAAGGGAGGAGTCTCTCTAGGTAGGACTTTGTGAACTGGACATTGCAGAGTTTTCCAATGGTCTTTTGCTTTGCAGGATGGGGTCCAAGTCCCCAGGAAACAACACTCAGCCTCCAGCTTTCTTCAGCAAGCTGACTGAGAGCAACTCTGCCATGGTGAAGTCCAAGAAACAGGAGATCATCAAGAAGCTCAGCACGACCAACAAAAATGAAACGGAGTACAGTAAGGACATGTGGGGAGGCGAATGCGGGGCACCAGGGGACTAAAAGCCTTGAGGACACATGAAGAAAAGGAGATTTGGGAATGGGTGCTGCTGTGTTAAAGACTGGGAGCTCCCAGCCAGTGGTCTCTGCATCGTGCCATGTTTTTTTGGAAAGTGTGAGGTCCAAATCCTTCTGGGATGAGCCATGCTGGTGCCAGCAGTGGCTGTGTGCATCTGGGGAGGTGGTGGGAGGCTTCCCAGCCCCTCATCTCCTTGCTCCTTTAGCCTGTCAATCCCACCCACACCAGATAACCTCAATAGGAAGGAAATAATGAGCTGAGCATGGAGGAGACTTAAGAGCAATTGATATTTTAATGAATGGCTGGCCAAGCTGAATCCTTCCTCCTTGAGATGCATCTCCCCCCAGTGTTACTTTAAGCCCTACATCAATATTGGTATAGCTCTGTAAAACCAACCAGGCTGGCTTATATTAGAAATTCAGCCCGTTCATTCATTAACCGCTAATAGAGTAGATAGGATCATAATTTAATTTAGCCCAGCATTATACAGTCAATACTAATTCAATTTGAATCCCTCTTACAACAGCTGCATCGGATAAGAGGGACCGAGCTGTCTCGTCTCCTGGATGATGTTACCATGAGCCAACAGTATTGTTATGCCCCTTTGGGGATGTGTGGCTGAAGCCCATGACCTTCCACACTTTCCCTTATCAAGGGAAAATATATGGAAATAGGAAACACCTCTTATTTGATGAGAATTTCTATTATTCTAAGGAAAGTGATATCCAAGTCAAACAGCTCAGCTAAGAAGGAAAATATTGATTTAACATTTCTTCTCCTCCTCCTCACCCTCCCCACTGCCCAGACCTGCTTCCTGGATATGGGGATTTGAGCCTTTGGAAATCCCGTAGGCAGGAGAGAGGGCTTAACTTGGTGGAGCTTGTAATCCAAAGAGCTGGAGGGAGGGGAGGCACTGAGCACGAAGACGTCACCCTGGCTCTCTGGGCTCTGCTTTTCTGCCCTTTCACAGCTGGCAAGATGTGCCCGCTGTGGTTCTCCCAAAGGCAATTATTCCTGGTCCCAGCCAGCACCTGTAGACCCACCCCAGGGCCTGGGGGAGGTGAGCTACTGTCAGCCTGGGTGCTGTGACAGGGGCAGCCCTACCGGCAGCCCGCACATGCTGCTCTCCATACTGAAGAGCTTCTTTGTTTTTCTCCAGATGTTGGGCAGCCTGGAACAGAGATTTTCAATATGCCGGCGATTACTGGAGCAGGTAACTCTCCCCTATACCTGTACCTCATTCTCTGCGGGGCTCACAGCCACCGAGAGCAGGACACTCGGTAGATTTAAGCATCTCCTTTTTTCCTTTTCAATAAGACCAAGCGTAACAGTTGTTGGGAGGCTGGAGCCTCGGGACACACCGTAACTCCCTGCTGTTGAGTTGGAGACAGTGCAGTGTAATTCCTCAGAAAGCCTGGCAGAGTTTGAGGAGAGAATAAAAGCCAAGCAAGGGTTGGCCATCTGATGCCAGCAGGGGGTTAAACTTTATGGCAAGGTGGTCCTCACGCTCAGGAGGGAGCACCCTGCTCTTGGTGGGACCTTGTGGTCACCCATGGATCGGTAGGAGGACAGTGGTGAAAGGGAATGTGAGGGTGGGAAACATGCTCTGTGCCACCGCGGGCTGGGCAGGCTGCAGGAGCCAGTTGCAAAAGCAAACTGGGGTGAGAGCAGCACCCTGTAACCTTGAACAGTGAGCTTTGGGCAAACCGGCGATGGCTGAGGACCGAGAGGAGGTGTTATCCAGGAGATGGAGGGTTGCTCGGGCATGGGAGTGCCAGCAGTGTGCTCAGTCTTCCAGGTGCTTAAGGCATGAGTTGACTGGTTTCTCAGAACTGGGAGGAAGTGTTCAGCTTGTGGCCGGGTCCGGCCACAGCGATGCAGCCGGTGCCACGCAGAAGGGCTTGGTGGGCAGGACCGCTTGGACCTTTGCTGCTGTGCAGAGGGCGGCTCCCGGCGGGTCTCAGGTCTCGGGCTGATCACCTGGTTCTGGAAGAGGAGTTTTGGTGGTGGTATCTGAGCAATGCTGCTGCAGGCAGCCATGGTGGGCTTTAGTGAGTCCCCAGCCCTAACCAGCATTAACCTGCCGGCCTGCCTAACTGGGGGGTCGCTGGCTAACACCTGGGACTGTACCCCAGCCTGCAAAGAGCCCCCACCCCCCCCCGCTCTCATGGAGAAAAGGTGCTGGGAAGAGCTCAGGGTGGTCCCCCAGGCCCTCATGGAGATGTACTTGCCATGCTGAGCCTGAGGACCACCACCCAGGGGCTGAAATGGCGTTTTAGGAGCTTCTCCAGGGGCACTGCACCCTCCCCACCTCGGCTGCTCCTGCAGCTTTCAGCCCAGCTGGGAAAGGAGGAGAGGGAGCAACTTGAGGAAGGGATTTTGGCAAAGAGGGGTGGAAAAATTTCTTCACAGAAAGGGTTGTCAGGCAGTGGAAAGGGCTGCCCAGGGAAGCCCCCATCCCTGGAGGTATTTAAAAGACGGGTAGATGAGGTGCTTAGGGACACGGTTTAGTGGTGGGATAGCAGGGTTAGGTTAACGGTTGGACTTGATGATCTTAAAGGTCTTTTCCAACCTAAATGATTCTATGATTCTATGAAAGCGGTCCCGGGGAGTCAGGCGGCTGACACGAGTTTCCCTGGCGCGGGGCAGAGACCAGCCCGAGGGAGAAGGACAGCGTGAGGGCTGTTGAGCTGTTGCTACCTGCTGCAGCAATGTCCGGGTGGGCATGCATGTGAATGAAATGAATCCTTCTTGAGGAGTATGAATTGATACTTAACTGATTAAGTATTAATGCTC